CTACAAAATCCTGGGATTTATGTCTAGTTTGCCTCCTCTAGAAACTGGAGAATTAATGCATGAAACCAATCCATCAATACAAGTAAAAAAAAAAAAAAAAAGACTCACAAATATAGAGATAAAATTAGCATGAAATTAGTTAGTTGTCAGACACAAATAGAGGCACTGACACTTTCCTACATCTTCTGTAACAAGTGTCTCAACTCACCAAGTTTAGACTATATTCAGTGGACTCTCTGATTTATTTCAACAGTTTCTACTTGTGGCTGGTTGTTTGCAAAGTCCTTCAAGTATCATTAAGATGAATCAGGAAACACAGATAATTCTTTAAGGGAAGAATTTGATCTTCTCATTCAGAATATCCACAGCATGTCATTGCAGCCTCCATAACAGCACATCACTGTATTTATTAATCCATTGCTACAGAGATTATGGCAATCTGACATGGAGTCTTAATGAATTTTTGGCACGTTTGGAAATTGTGACCACCGTTGCCCAGGGAGCCTCTTAAATCAACCTCTCTTTTACTGCAGTTGCCTTTTCATGGTGTATATCACATTGAGAAATGGATGACACAATTCACAGCTTTAACTACCCTGCATTAGTTGATTGTGTACTATGGATGTGTATTGCACAGTGTATGAATCATAGGGGTGATAGGAAATGGGTGACACATAATTTAAACATGAAATTGCTGATGGGCTGGGCCTTAGTAGGAAAAGAGGCAGGAAAATAAAGGAAAAAGTCGAGGCATCAGATGGGAGGAACTCAGGTATTTGTGACAACATTAAAATATACTTATTAGTAAAACACAATAGAGAGAATGAATGCTATTCTGCTATTCAAGGAGGTGATTTTTTTTTTTTAATACCATCATTTACCCCTCCAGATGCATCTTCTTCTATTCTGTCCTGAGATTCCCTTTAGTTTGCAAATTGGCATTTAGGAACAAAGTCTATTTATTTTAATGAAGTCTTACTTTTTAAGACAAGCTACCCTGAAAATGAAAAAGAACCTTTTGCCCAAACTACAGATATATATTGTGAAGTTAGATGGTATAAGATCTTATTTACCTCTTGTTACAAATAGGCAGGCATCTAATTTAATCAGTGTTTCTATTTTCTACCTTCAAAATGAGATACCTTTTTTTTTTTTTAATTGTAAAAGAAGATTCAAATGGGATCTTACATTTTGTTCTAAATAGGGCATTTGGGATTTGGGAAGCAAAAGGCACATGTGCTCGTGGATACCACAGGTAAAAAGGTGTTTGTTTCCAGGATAGAAAAACAAGAATTGGAAATAAGGAGCATTATTTAAGGTAACCAATACTGATTTCTCATTCAAAGACCATGTGGTTTTTATTTTTTCTGTAGGTCTGCCTGCATTCTTCTTTTAAGCTGCCATTGCAGTGATTCCTTCCCAATTATGGCCCTAATGACTGCTCTGGACTTCAACCTATCTCATGAGCTTTCAGCTCAGCTACTACCAAACTTCTGTCCATTCTTCCAATGTATTAAACATTCTTGTATGAAAGACCTTATATTTTCACTTTCACCTTGCAGAAAAGTCTCCTCCCAATTCTCTGCATGTCTTGCTCCTTCACTTCTTTTAAGTCTTTGTTCAAATCTTAACATCTTAGAAAGGACTTTGGTGACCATGCGAGCACTATAACTTCTAATTCTCTTTTCTTTTTTCGTCTCTACTTTTATTTCTTGAATAGTGCCTATTATTATCTGATATTTATTTTTAGTTCTTTCTATCTAAATTTCCTTGTCTAAGAACACTGTATTCTCTAGTAATAGAGTACTGCCCTTCTCAGAACACCATGTTTCATATGGTCTATGGTCAATACTGGTTGAAAGTATATTTCACGAAGAAGTAAAAGAATTAATAATTAGGTTCCCCAGATTTGTAATTCCAAACATCTAAGAGAAAAATTAAAATTAGCATCTATTTCATATTTCTCAAGAGAAACTGCTACAACTGGACAACTTATGAGATCAGCTGCACACTCACTGGTCTACTTAGAAAGGTTTGAGATGGGGCCACTTCACATAGCACAGAGCAGAAGAACTTATAGCACCAGCTTGGCAGGCTCTTTAAGTTGGACTTAGGTGACCCAGCCCTGATGGCACTTTGAGCTTCATGAAGTACAGCTCAGCTCCCATAGACACAGAAAGGCTGTATACTGTCAGAAATGTCAAGGTCAGCTACTATGTTGACTCCTCTAGCTACTCACCTTATGGTCTCAATCATATTTCCTTATGTTTAATTCTTTTATCTTTTCCACATTTTATATTTAATTTTATGTGCAATTAATAGTTAATATTTTTGAAATACCCTATGAGTCTGATACTTTATTAGCAAATCTATGTATCCTGGAATTCTCATGACTGTCATCTGGCATTTGTGCTTTAATTGCCTTTATTTTGAAGGTGAGGAATTATGCAAATAGAGGGAAAATATGTTGCCTGATAAGGCATTGCAAGTGATTAAACAGAACCAGGATTTGAACCTTTGAAAGATAGCCTTGTTCTACCCTTGCATCAAAAAAGACCATTTTATATATTTATTCTCCTGAGGAACTTAGCAAGAAGTATTTACATTCTCATTACATTTTGATGGGGCAGCTACATGGAAAAGTACTTTCAAAGTGAAAAATTATTCTGATTAATCTATTATTATTAAATAAGCTTTTAAAATACCTTCAATATAAATTTGGGTCTGTGTATTTTCATAGACTTAAGACCTAGTATACTCTGTTTGCATGTTTTTATATATGCATACCAGGAACAAACAAAAAACTAGTAGTTTTGACTAGATTAGCTAATTATTTAATTTTTATAATAAGCAAATATCAAGGACCTAAAATACTGTATTTAACTTAATATTTTCACTTTGGATTTTTGCAAAAATTATCCAAAAACACTTTAAATAAGTTAGTTTCTAATACTAAGGGTAGCAAAATCTTTTCACTTGATTTGAGTTTTATTTACAATATGAATAATAACAGGTACCATGTTTAACACTGGAAGATGTACAGTGATGTATAAAATAATGCTTCCAATTCATTCTGTGGAGTTTTTTTTTTTTACCCACAAGAACAAACTTGAAAAGTAATACATGACTGCTCTAAATCCTTTGTAATATCATGCAATGCAGGCAGAAGCCAATAGTTTCATCCCTTATACATACAGAGCTTTTTCCACCACTGACTTGTTGGTACTCATGAGGATTTTCTCTTTAAAAAGACTTGAGTGTTCTCATTACAATAAATTGAAGCAGGTGAGAATTTATTTATTCTTGTATTTTGCAGTAAGGGTTCTGGAAGCGTTTGAAAAAAGTCAGGTTTGCAAATACCAATGTATGGACTGCTATTCTTTTCTCATTAAGCAGCATGTTGGTTCTATTCTTTTATTTTGCATTTGTGCTTTTAGAAAAGCTCAGAATGTTCTGTAGCATCTAGACTTCCCTCTTTTTTCAAAGTTGTTCAAGGTCATCACGGCCCATATCCATCAATCATGTGTGCCTCACAGATTTCCTCTGTCAGAAAGACATATCAGTATGATTAATGGTTCAGAGTTCATATTCAGAAATCTGATTGGATAACTGTCGGTTCATTTATTGAAACTTATAACTCAAAAAACATTGATGAAGTTGTGCAAGAGAAGAAAGCAATGCAAGTCAGTTTTACTTATTATGAACTACAAAGCTTGGTCATTTGTTAGTGTCAATAGGTCTGGACTCTGGCATATTTCCCACATCTCAGCTAGGAGATTAGGGAGAGGCATTAGCTCCTTTAGTGACTATCTTTGTAGCACTGAAAGAGTAAATATACTGTGATAATAAAGTCTTCAGCATTGGGAGAACAAGAGTCTATGAGATCTTTCATTAGACATTGCTTTTGTTCATTTCTAATAAGGAGTAGTAATTGTTTACACATTTAAAAATTAAGTATTAGTTATAGACTATACTCACAGTTATGTTATTTTATAATAATACTATTATTAAAGATAAAGTTAAAAAGCCAAATATTTTTTAAATTCTGCAGATGACTCTCAGTATTAGATGGGATCTTAGAGGGACAAAGAGACTGAAATAGATTCAAGTTTCCCTAGAACTGTAGTAACTGATAAAAGGCCCATTTTAAGTCAGTGTTATATTTTCCAAGTATATTGTTTTTATAAAACTGGCTGTCTTATTGAGGGAAAACAGCTCATTCTTTACACTTTAATTAAAAACATATCTGGCCTTCCCTGGTGGCCCAGCGGGTTAAAGCACTGCACTGAAAAGCTTAAGCCACTTCCGCATGAATTCGATCCTGCCTGCCCCGAGCTGACCACATGGAGTGGCAGACCTCTCCTGACCCTGCCCGCTGCTCCCCTCAGCAGTGTACTTCATGGATCTGCCTGTTCTGCTCCCCACTCTGTTCCTGGTAAATTCTCTCACCCTCCGCATCTCTGGCCTGTACCCCAGTTCTGTATAAATAAATAAATCTTTAAAAAAAAATCAAATAATTTTCAAGTGAAATTATATAAAATTATTAAAAATTATGTCAATATTTTAAAACTGGCTTTTCTTTTGTGTCAGGGACAGAAATTTAAAAAGAATATAATGGAACTTGACTTAATAAAATAGAAAAACCAGTATATTACAAAATAACAAAACTGTAAAATAATAAATCAAAATTAGAACATATGACAAGGTACTTACTTTTAATATCCTAACAGTGCTTTAAAAAAAAAAGATTTATTTATTTAAACACACAGAACTGGGGTACAAGCCAGAGGTATGGGAGGTAAAAAGATTCTCTGGAGACAGAGTAGGGAGCCAAACAGGCTGATTGACTGAAATATACAGTTAAGGGGAGCAGTGGGTGGGTTTGCTGTACCATGTTGGTTACCTCTAGGGTCAGGGATTAAACTCATGCTGCAGTGGCTGCAATAGCTTCATAGTGCTGTGCTTTATGGACCACCGGGGAAGATCCCTAAAAGTGCTTATTTTTAATAATCAATAAAAATTAAATACAAGCTATAAGAGAGGAATGGATGAAGGCAGAAACTTTGTCACAAGAGAAAAATCAAACAACATGTACTTTTGGGCATTCATGTATAATAACTATTTACTAGTATTTATGAAATCCACAGAAATATTTTATTAATAGTTTAGGAAATTCTGGCATAATCAATACATGGAAAGCATTTTATTGTCAATCAGCCGATGAACCCTCATTTTTTCCATCTTAGCTAGTATTTAGTCTGTAAAAATAGAGTAAGGATGGGACAAGACTAGCAGGATCACATGTAACTCAATGTGGAATTCCAAGAATGTCTAAAAATTTTCTAACATTCACATATAAAGACATCCTTTACCTGTTATAAGGTTGATTTGGAAAATAAATACAGAAACAAATGATAATTTTTTTCAAAATATTTTTGAATAAACTTGTATCATGGATTTTTATGCCTCAACCACTATGAAACTTAGACTATTATTAAAAAGAATCTTCCCCTCTTTTTTAAAACTGAATTCAGGATTTTGTAGGTCTTTCATAATTTCTTCTTTGAGATCAGGTGGTGCTGTTGTGGTAAAATCACAGGTTTCTGTCAAAAAATCCCAAAGCAAGTCTCCATTTTCATTGCCATCAATAAAGCAGTCAGATATATCCATGGTAGACAGAAGGTCATAACACTCATACTTAAAACCCAACTCGTCCAGCATCTGAGTGAGATCAAATGATGTTACATAGAGGCAGAGGTCATCCAAAGGCAAGCGGGATCCATACTTTTTCCATAGTTTGTTCCAACCACTGGTTCCTGTGTGACATAACAAAATCTTTTTATTCATTCTTGTTTTTGTTTATGTATTTTGCCAGGTAGTATAGTAAATGCTTGTAATACAACAGACAATAAAATAATATTCTTATCTTTTTAACTCTAAGACATGTATAACTCTAAGGCCTGTGAATGAAAGGACATGACTCCAAAGAAGAAATGTAAATGACCAACAGGCATACGAAAAAATATTCACCATCACTAATTATAAAGGAAATGTAGATCAAAGTCACAATAAGATCCACCTCACACTTGTGAGGATGTCCCACATTAAAATCTGAAGGTAGAAACCAATTACTGTACAAAAGGAACATGATGAAATAAATTTAAAATAAAAATAAAAGAAAGAAAAAAATTAATTTTGATAAAAATTAAAAGAAAAGCTTTTCATTCCAAGGACAGTGGTTATCTTCCTAAATGAGAATTTATCTAGAAGAAAATAAGTATTTCAGTGGCTCAGGAGAGCTTCTGTTATCTTTTTTTTTTTTTTTTTAACCTGGCAGAGGAAAAAGAATTTAACATTAATTTGCTTATGTCAGTACCCTGTGACTTAATGCCACTTCTAAGCTGAGCAGTTATATATACCCTTTCTGACTGATGCATTATCATAATGGCTCTCAGTGGGCAGGACATATGGTGTTACTTTTGTTTTCAACATGATAAAACCAGATTCTTTGCTCCACTGTGTTAACAATAACACACTATGATTTGCCTTCTTCCTTAGCCAGGTAGAGAGAGGATAGAAAACTGCAGTGATTTCCTTCTGGCTAATTTCTCTTAAGCAGACAAATTACATTTTAATTAGCAACTCTATCAACAAACTCTTAGCTACTACGCAGAAACTTGTCACAATACCATTTTAGTCTGGAATGTTGGCAATTTAGAAAATTTACCTCTGTTTTCTTAAACCCCAAAGCAAGATTTTTAAATATTCATATTAGGAACTGTGCTTGTTACAATTAATATTTACTGATTTAGGCTAGTTTTGTAATAGATATTTAGAGCAGACTCACTGATTTAGGCTGCCCATTTCAGTGTGTACTCTGTGTGTGTTGTGTGTATGACTACGTATATTTTCTTTATTGACTTTTTCATCACTATTTATTAAAGTATCTTAAATCTCCAGGACTTTTTATATTTGCCACTCTAGATTCTTGATGTAACCATAATTTAATTAAACATACTATCTTTGTAGTTCTGATATCATAAAATGAAACAATAAACAATTACTCAATTCAATTCAAATGCATTAACTGATATCCTTTAGGTCCTAAAGACTTTGTAAATTTTGGTACTAGATATAGGAGACAGAGTGTCCTATTCTCCAGGAACTCTCCTTAAATTCCCTGTATCCCTCTGAAAGGAAACTTAGCACATTGGTGAAAATGTTTCTGATCTGAATTAGCCATTATATCACAAGCTTTTCAAAGGCAGAGGAAAAGTAATAGTCACTTTTGCATCTTCAGAATCTAGCAGTGATTGACTATAGATGCTCAATAAGAGCTGGATGAACCGAATCTATGTAACTCTCTTATGCAGCCAAGGTGGGATCAGCATTTTGAAGAATGCTGAACATGCATGAATTCATAGCCAAGTTAGGTACTCTGAATAATTAAATCTATATGTTAACCTCATATTTCAGTGTCTTTCAAACTAGTGCATATAAAAAAAAGTAATGTGCATATGGTACTCAAATAACTAAGTAATTCAGTCTATTCACGGAAATACTTAGTTAACTTTGTAATAGGTCATATCTGAGTTGCACAGCCAAGTGTCCTAGCTGTGTGGCATATTTAAGATGACCCATTAGAACAAGATGTTGATCAAGACACAGTGACCAGTCTAGATGAGATGTTGGCTAGATGAATGCTTTTCAAAATTCAACTTAGTAACTAGCTCCAGGTTTGTCTGCCTGTGAGTTTTCTGCATTGCACTGTGGCCATGGATGACAACATTACCTTGAAACAAAGGAAATACTCAAATAGGCTTCTTTTGGGTAATTATGAAACAAATTCTATTCAGAATGTTACCAGAAGAAACTTGATTAAAATGGTATCTAGCATAAACTAGTTTCATGTAGTTTTCCCAATTTTTAAAAAAGATTTATTTATGCTTACAGAACTGGGGAACAGGCCAGAGGTGTGGTGGATAGAGACAGAGTGGGGAGCAGAACAGGTAGATTGACTAAGTATACTGCTGAGGGTAGACTGGGCAGGTCAGGAGAGGTCTGCCACGCCATGTGGGTCAGCTTCCTGGCCCGGGATTGAACTTGTGGCTTTGGAGAGCTTCATAATGTGGTGCTTTAACCTGTTGAACCACCAGAGAGAGCCCCTAGTTTTCCCAATTTTTAAGAACAAGTTTAAGGAATGTTTCATTGGGAAAATAGGGTTTCAAGAACTGTAGTTTAGGCTCGGAAGGCAGGATAAGGCAGTGGCTTTTACATAGGAGTGAGGAAGTTGATCTAGCACTTCAGATGATTGGGAAGCTTGGTAAAACCCATTTTCTTTCTATAAGCTAGTTGGAAAAAATAGAGATTCGTGAAGAAATTTCACTTATGAAAAAAATGACTAATAAAAAAATTGAATTGTCCTTATAAATGATGATTAACCATGATATAATATACACATGAATGGAAACTTCTTGTGATTAAATTTGCAACATAACAATTATTATTATTATTATTATTATTAAAAAAACTGCAACTGTTTCTATACACTTAAGGGATATCACAATTTATCTTAGGGAAATGTTTTGCTACTAACACAGGTTCATAAGCACACAGGTTTATTTAGGTGGGAGAAGTAAAGTAAAAGTAGGTTAAATTGCTCTGTATTACAAATATGAGAGGTGGGGGGGAAAGTGAGAAGTGGTCTCTTAAGAAAAATGCTGATTTAAGAGACTGTGGATGGTATCTAAAACTAATAGGTGTAAGGAGGTGGGGCCCAATTGAGCAAAAGAAAAGCCAGGAATAGAGTGACTATGGGCCTTTGATGCTGAAATCTGGTTTCTGCTGTTCTTCCACCTCTTAGATCTCAAGACCTTCCCAAATTAAAGAAAAGTGTTTGGAAATAAAGGAATTAATGCCATATCCAAGCTTTGGATAAGACAGAACAGGATGGGGAAAATGTAATTGCAGCAGATACAAGGTTTAGCGATTAATCAGGAGTTGAACTAGGACAGAAATTTAGAGTAAACAGTGATCCATCAGGTAACCATCAGGAGCATGTATGATCCCCAAGAATCCCCAGGAGTCATAGAAAAGGGGACTAACAGCTTGGTGAGAGCTCAGTCATTTATTTGTTTTGGGTTTTTAAGAGTTAATAAGTATAAATGAACACACAAGTGGGAAAACTAGAGAACTTCAGGTTATACTAAGTTGATGACTAGCTGAACATATTTGATAATTTCATTTAATTTTCAGGTAGAATATTTTCTTTAACTGAAAATTAAACTATAGTGGAAACAGTTTTTATGTTTAGTTAATATTTAATTTTTTACTTAATAACCTCTGAAGAGGCAATAAAGTTAATGACTTTCATTCTTAGAAAAGTAGAAGGTCCAAAGCAAAATGCCTAACATATTGTCTCCTTTTGTTAAGTGGCTTTAAATTTAAGAAGAAATGTATATGACATTTCTCAGTAGGTAAGTACATCTAAGAATGAAGTGCATGTAGTAAATGAAGGAGGTCATTAGAATTACTTTATTTTTACAACAATAGAGGTTTTTATATTATTATGTCTGAAACTAGTATCTATTAACAAGTTAACAATTTTTATCCTCTAGGTCACCTGTTTCTTATGCTGTGTGCATGAGTGAAGAATTTTGAAAGGCATATTGTACAAGTAAGTAAAATATTTCCACCATCAATCTATATTGACCAAATTATTCTATTCATAATATTTATTTTAAAAAATTAATAATTTTGATCCTTCACTCATTTTCTTTTGATTTCCCCATGAATTTATATATACACACACACACACACATATATATGTATTATACATATATTTATACACACACACATGTTAAATATATGCACAGATATAATAAATTGGGTAATTATTTAGAAATAGCCCTTGAATATTTCAAAGACCCAGTTCACAGAGCTAGAAGGTTTCTTAGCATTCTTGTTCCTTCTACCTTTGACTGGGTTGTTTATATATATATATTTTTAGTTACATACTTCTTAATGACAATAAAACAAACTGTATTAATGAGATAGCCACATAAAGAGATAAATATACAGACAGGTACTTAGTGCTCAGTTGCTTGTGCACTACTGTGTCATTTTCTATCCATGGTTGTTTATTTCTTTCTTATTAGTAGATAAAAACTCATAGAAAGATGACTTTTGACTCTCACTAAACTTCTGAAGATATCATAGAATATAGCAAATATAAACAGGAATGTATCTGTTATGATTATGAAGTATATTCTGAAATCAAATATATATGACTTCACATCCAAGATTACAGGCAACAACTCTACTTGCCATCCTTAGAGCCATACTTCACATTTAAAAATCAGTGGCCTTTGTAACATAAGTTTTTAAGTTTGGCATATGGTATAAGCTTAGGAAGATAGAACCTGTTATATAGATCTATATCTATACCTATACCTACATATATATATATATATATATATATATATATATATATATATATTCAACTTGCCTAGCACTATGTGAACAAACCATAAAGATTACTTAATGAAAAAATATGAATGAATGAACTTAACGACATCAACGTTTCATTAAATAACATGTATAGTTAAATTCTGTTTGTAGCACTTACTATAGTACTGAAAGTGACATGATCTAATCAAATGCATCTTGGAAAATAAAGCATCGGAAAGCAAAATAAGGGAACCATTTTGATAGCTATTTAACTTATAATGAACTATATTGACATGGCTCTAAAGTGCAGATTCATCAAATATGAGGTATAATATTTAAACTTCCATTTATTAACATATATCACAGAGGGAAAAGAGACATTCAAAAGAACAAAGGAGATAAAGATATTCACTACTTTTAAGCTCATTGAAAAATCCTATCACACACACATATTTATATATATAAAATAAAGAAAATTTTCCCAAGGGAAAGAAGTAAATAGACATTCAATTCCACTAGAAACCTTAAATTGAGAGCTGTTATGAAGGTCTTTCCTAATACTGTGCTAATTAATTAACTATGATCAGAAGCCAAATCAAGAATTTCATAATGAAAATGAATAATACCAGCTGCCTTCAAACAAATGAATCCATATGTGCATGCATTGTTGCAGTTTTAAAATTCAATCTCAATGAAAATAACTTACCTGACACAACAACAATGAGCATCTTAGCACTGGTATTTAAAAGACTATGGAAGAATCTCAGGGTAGCTGGGATATCTTTTACATAATACAGCATCTAAACGTGAAGGAAAGAGAAATGAGGCAGTTTTCTTTGTCAATGTCTTTGTTGCTTGAACTACATAATAAAATGTTTGATGTTTAAGTTGAGTGGATTTTTACTCAACAAAATAGATAAGAGGGCCTCCCTGGTGGCACAAGGGGTTAAGTCTCAGCCACTGCAGATAAGTTCCATGCCCAGCTGAGGAGCTGAACCACATGGCTCAGCAACCTGTCCAGTCTCACCAGTTGTTCCCCTCAGCAGTGTTTTCAACAGATCTGCCTATTCTGCTCCCTTAACTGTCTCTGGTGAATTCTCTCAAACCACATACCTCTGTACCTATATATATATCTAATTCTTGTATGCATAAATAAAAATAAATCTTTTTAAGAAAAAGAATTAAAGTCAAGATATTATATAGTGAAATAGATTAATAAGATGAAAAAAATATTCTGGAGAAGAGAAAACCATGATATTTGCTGAACTAAAGCCAAATAGTTTTAAATTTACTCTTTCTTACTTCAATAATACAAAAATTTATAGCTGAGACACATAGTCTCCATTCAACATTGGGACATTGAGTCTGAACTTACTCCATAATTTGTGAATTACAGTTCTTCTGGGAGAAAAATGGTGTCAACACCATAAAAACAGATCCCATTTCATGGAACGTTGCTTTAAAATTAAGCTCTTTGCACTAGCATCACCATATGCACACAGAGGATTTTTTTATAAATCACAGAAAATGTGACAGACTCTGAAGTTGACAGATTCTCTGAAAAAAATAGACTCAAAAAGCATGGGGCTGCATGATTGATCAACAAAATTTTGGGGGTTAGCTCTCCTATTTTTTAATAACTACATCATCTCCAGTGAAATTCAAGGAGAGGTTTTCCAAACAAACACAGATAATACTTGGACCATAGCAGTGGAATGTTTTCCCTATGGTCTTGTTGAATCTCTGGAATCTGCATCCATAGACACAAACTTCTTATTTCACATCTCCTCTCTTGACCAAGTTACAACAGTTTTTAAAGATGTATTTATTTATGCATATAAAAACTGGGGTACATGCCAGAAGTTGGGGGGCGTGAGAGGATTCACCAGAGACCGAGTGGGAACAGAATAAGTAAATTGACTAAAATATACTGCTGAGGGGAGCAGCAGATGAGACAGGGAAGAGGTCTGCTGTGCCATGTGAGATAGCTCACTGGCTGGGGATCAAACTCATAGTCCAGTGCTGCCTAAAGCTTCATAATGCTGAGACTTAATCCCATGCACCACCAGGGAGGCCCCCAAATATAGTATTTTATATATATATATGCCCATGACAAAATTTACTGCATAAAGCAAAACAACTTAATCTATTCCCCTTTCCTATGAAAGAATGAAATTAAATGGACTTACACATGGCCTGTGCCACTTTAGGGGACATAATTACTATAATCTCACTGCACACTTCCACACTTAGACAGCTATCCATACATAACGAGACCGTAAGATGTCTAACAATCAGTGATATCACCTAACCTATTTTAACTAAAAAAATAGGAAGGAGTTCATAACAAATTATCTGAAATAGTATCTGGTAGACATTCAGATTCTTTACAGTTGACCAGTAAATTGAAGAAATGTAAGACTAAGGAATAATGAAGGGATATAGCACAGAAAAATACAGAGCAGAAAAGAAGCAACAGTGGTAGAGCATAATAATGCAGAGGAAGAAGAATTGTAAGAAAGAAGGAACAAACATGTACATTTTGGCCAAAAAGGGGAAAAGATACCAGTCTCTGAAATTCAAATATTTTATAATGGAAGAATAGGATCCAGAGCATAAGTGAAAGGATCAGACTTTTGATAAGAGGAAACATTTGTTAAAAAAAAAAAAAAAGGAAAAAAGAAATGGTGGGTACAGGTATAGCAATGTTTCTGAGTTTGTATGGTGAGTGATGAGTTTTCATGAGACAGTGCTGATTTGTACACTATTATATGAAGTGTGGTTGTGACACTGAATGAGTAGGCTTGATGGGCACTGTTAAACACTTTCTTATAGTACAAAATTTTGTGAGTTGGAATAGCAGAGATGTACGCTTGCCTAGCTATGTCTATCTTAGAGTTCTTTCTCCCTTTGATTTCTCTTAAGCTTATTCCTGAGGTGCATGTTCTTGTGGACTATAGAAAGAAAGAAGCATCTTAAAATAAATCAAAGTGATATTTTTATACAGTAGTTAAAATATAAAGCCTATATAATCATGTAAGTCAATAAAGGCAAACATAGGAAAATGTCTGGGACACTGTTCTATGTAACCCAGTAGATCTTCTACAAAATTGTTATACTATACTGTCATCAAATCTATCTATGAACTTTTTACTCCTTGGAAAATTAATTTTGCAAGCAGTGAAAAACATCAATAACTGAGAGGCATTTTGAGGAAAGAAAACTGGCTGTTTTGAATGTTACATATAATCGACATCTTTATCCTTAATTTGAGTAGATACTGTTCACTTATAAAATCATAAATTAGACTTTCATTTTTTCTTTCTGAAGTTAGAATATTAGGTACTCTTCATATGTATTTCTGAAAAAAAAAAAACCTCCTTGATAACTATATATAATAATAAATATTTCTTACCTGAATCATATGAATAAAGTCCCACTTCTGAAGCTCCTTTTTCTCTGTCACTCTCTTTTGGTATTCAGATGATGTCTCCTTATGCCAAGCAAACTTTATGTTCTGGAGGTCTGATGTCTTGGCTACAAGCTCTAAAATACAGAGAAGAGGTGGCACACCATCAATTTTAATTGCAAATGTGGAACCCATTTTCATTTAGAATTTTAATGCAATCAATGCTATATACATAACAGATACTAAATACATTTTTTTTTAATGTAGCTCTGGGAGACCAGAAAGTTCATCCTGTTTTGTATTTTTCCCTAGTATTATATGAAATTAGAGAGGAAAGAATCAATAAGAAATAATTATGAAAACCCTAATCAAGCACAGGTTACATTATCGCATTAATAATGTAAAATCAACCAGTGAATTTTATTAATGGAAAAATGTTTAGAGTAGGCCTTATGATATTACAACCCAAATATCAACAAACTGCAGTCCATAAGTCAAATCTGATCCGCCCCTTAATGACATATTCTGTTCTACTTCCAAAATTCATTATTTAGTAGCATTAAATGTTGGAATGGGTTGGAAAAAAGCAAAATAATAGTAGTATTTTCTGTTATGTGAACATGATATAAAACTCAAATTAGCATGATTATGAAGTTTATTGGAACATTAGCTTTGTGGGTTACCTTTATGCCATGATAATAGTATAAGATATTCACTGTTTGATCTTTCCCCCCCCCCAAAATTTTGCCAATTCCTACTAAACTAATAAACTAAACTTTCTAATGGCACAGATTTCTGCTTAATTATTTCTAAGTGAATTAAATATTCTGTTTCTAATAATACATATCAAAAATAATAGTTGATTACAGCAAAATGTATGAAAAGTCAGTATAAGCAAGAATCTAGTAATTCACTATTAACCTTCCAAGCTGTTTAATCATATTTGCTAAACAAACTAATTCCTTCCCAAAGCAATTACATTGAGCTTACTACCGTAACTCTGACGCTAATGATTCAAGGAACAAACTCGAGATGATAAACTTTTTGGGATTGAATTTAGCATATAATTTATGAGTTTTATATTTGATACCTTTATATTTGGTAATTTGTTCAGTACTTGGCTCAACAACTTCATTGTTGATATGAATTCCTGGATATTGAGCCTGTACTTTGGAGAGAATCTGAAGATCAATTTCACCTAGAAAATAAACATATGAAACAGGTGACATCAACCCAAAAAGAAATAATTAAGAATAATTTGAGCAATTTATTATACATCCAGCACAGATAGAAGAGCCCAGTGTAAATAATGAATAATGTTTAACTATTACCCGCTATCATGCTATGGACAGCTAGGTTGTAAGTGGAAATAATTTGATTTGAGGAGGGCTATGGTTGCCATTCATTCATGTGTTTATTCGTACAACCCCAACTTAATATTTATTTTATATTACATTAAATCTAAGCTGCCATTGGTTATAAGATGAAGTTTATGTCATTATGTCAAAAGATACACTGTCAATTATAATTTTAAGATACATCAACTAGAAGATGTATCCCAATTTAACACATTAAAAAACAGAAATTTTAAAATATATACCTTAAAACTGATAGAGCAGGCTAAGCCAAAGCTTACAGAAATATGTCAAGTGAAAATAAGTCAGGTACAAAAAAGCAATCAAAAGCCCTGGTTGGGTTAGGCCCAGGTGGACGAGAGAAGGACATAGTAAGAGAAAGGATGAAGTGATGAGAGAAATGGAAAGCTTTATGAAGGAAGAGCACTCCTCAGCTATGTGTTAGCAAAGAAACTTGTGAGATAGTGAAGAATTGCAGATGGAGAGGAGAGAAAGACAGCAGGATACAATTAGTAACCAGAATTGTACCACCAGGGGCCACTGGTGGTTCAGAGTTTGGGATATCTATGGTGGGTAGGACTCCTTAGAAAATAATGATCCCAGAAAGAGAAATGGCAAGGAAGTTATGGCAGAATAGATATTCATGTACCAACTATTGATTATTTTCACAGGCTCTGCAGTAGGCTCTAAATTCCCTGATGTGCTGGGAATTTAGTTTTAAGTGACTACGTAAGAGAGATGTTTGTAAGTCGGATAAACTTGAATCCCAAACCTTCCTTTTCCATGTTCTAAGAGTAGAAGAACTTCAGCAGTTTGCTTTACCTCTCCAAGCTGTATTTATCATTAGAAAATTAGAGATAATAACAACAGTACATACTTTATTAAGTGTGAGATTTAAATAAAGCAATGGTTATAAAGCACAGAACAGAGTTGGATCCCCCCAAAATGTTAGCTGTTCATTATTTTTATTACCATTGGCCCCTCTTTATTTTTTCTCTAAACTTATTTATTTTCTTTTATCATTCATTTTTGTACAGTAATCACTTATTCTCTTTTAAAAAGTCTCTTCTTTCTCTGTTGTTGATGCATCCAACTTAAGTTTTGCGTATGTATTCTCTTAGGTTATGAGGTTAACCTTCATTTAAATGGAGCTATCAGCTGTTAAGATGAGCATATGAAAATGATCTTAGTCTTTGATATTTTGGCATAAATATTAATAGAACATTCAGGACAAAAGCATAGGCCTTAAGACTGGGAAGTCTGGATGGAAGAAGATGACAAACAAAAATCAGGAACAAGAGATAGTAGACTAAGAAAAGAGGTCAGTTTAATAGTCTAAAGCAAGCCCCAAGTTCTAATAATAAGAGTTGGGAAGAATAATAGGAGCCAGTAGGGGGAAGAAGAGGTTAGGAAGCTGAAATGGAGGATGAAAGAGCTTATATGACAATTTTTTTTCAAAGCTGATCCCACCAGCATGAACCATTTTATTCTTTCATGAATAACTCTCTCTGAACTTACTACCTACTATTTGTCAAATACTATGCTAGGCATTTTATCCGTAATATTTTACCACTTACTCTAGACCACAATGCAAATGTAAGTTCCACAGTGTAATTTCCAACAGCTAAGGTAACGAGTAATTTGACATTCAGGGAATATTAAATGTCTAAATTTTAAATATTAAGCACACCTTTTGACTCTATGGTATTGTTCTTCTAACTACCTCATGCTAGAAGTAGACATATAGCAAATGCTAAAAGGAGTGAGTCTTTTTCTTATTTACAGTTTTTTTATGGGAAAAATAATAACTAAAACAAAAGGCTTAAGACACAAATAAATTAACTGTGAGCTAATAAGAAATTGAGACACTCCATTTTGCTGCACAGGACCAGAGACAAAAGTTCTGTCCTTGTCACATATTTGAAAAAAACTAAAATCATAAATTCTGAGAATTCCAAGTCCGACATTTTAAAATTTAGATAACTGAAATACAATTTTTTTCCCTCTTTTGCTTGATAAGAATTCCTTTCCTTAAGTTGCCAGGTAAAAATATGTACGTTTGTAAAGATAGCAATATAATGAGACGATAGATGTCCTTGTCTACCTTGATTCTTAAACTAACCAGAAGGCAAAATGTATCCAGCACATTCCCTTGGATTGTTCTTTTCTTGACACTTATCAACTAGAATTTGTTCTACCATAGTCACAGCCAGCCAATCCCTGATCCTAGACACAGATGCAGGACACAATACTAGAATTATAATTGAAACAGAGAAACCGTGAGCTCCCCTAACAACTTCTAAAATGTGTGGATACAAACCAGTCTTGCGTATTGCTAGAACCCTCTCACTAATAAATGAACTATAAAAGACAAATAGTATCCTCAGGAGTTGCCATAGATAATTCATTTCTAAGTCAGGTACCATACTTCCTCTTTGCTTGTATTCCACCTTGTTTTGCTTCTTAACCCACTTTTTTTGTTCTTAATGAAATACTGATAGAATTTTATTTGTGCAAGTTTAAAAAACATTATACATTGACCAACAAAATAAAAACACATTGCTCAATAAGAGATATTTCAAAATGTATAATTTTAATCCTTTTGTTGAGTCCCTCCAACTCTCAATCTTAAAATTATCCTGAGTTTCACAATAATGCCACTTGCTCATAAGGCACTTACTTTCTGTGCTATTTTTGTTATTTATAATAAATTCTATTATAAGTATTAAAAGACATGGACAACTAATAAGGTAGATAAGTATATAGGAAGAAAGGAAGATAATAGAGAAAGAGAAACAAAGATAATTTATTCCTTGGTCTTCTATACTAGAGCTTGATTTCTAGTATCCCTCAGAACAAAGAAACATGCATTTTTTTTT